CGTCTTCTCTTAGAAATCTAAAAAAACGTTTATTCGAAAATGCATTTTAAGACTGTTCGCTGAACGATAACCGACGAGAGACTACAAGGCGAAACGAAGAATGCGAAACGGAAGAAGCGAAGAGGTGGATGAAACGGTATGCAAGAAGTAATATTGTTCAGTGTGCAATAACAGGTTAGCTAAGACCACCTGAACCAGAAAGACAGCTAACAAGCCAAGTTATTCGAAAGGTGCCTGTGAAAATAGGGCAAATAATGCACTAATTGTCGATTTCGTAATAAAACTTGTTACTCATCAAAAAAGTTAGACGATATAACAGACGCAGCCCATCCCATTAAATAAATGATCACAATAAAGGCGATGACCTAAAATAGAGTCACTGCTAATCCTAGATCAGACGTTTATTTTCTTTCTGACCTTCATCAGTTGCAATGTCCGCGTTGTTTCAATGTAGGTAGCAACTTAATAAAAAATGTGATTCAAAGTCCTTGAATCGGCATCGAATTCTAAGAAAAATGAGCTGTTTACCTATTGCTGTTGTATAATTTGGAATCGAACCCAACCCAATTTGTCACGGAATTCCTTATCGGGAGCAAAATAGTTCCTAAAACAAGCGGTAGCAAATTGCTTTTAATTCGGCGAATAAATGATGGTTCTAATCATTCAAATCATCAGTCATTTGATGACTGAATTACCTAAATTACCCAACCACTCAAGTACTGAGTCCAACTTATCGGTTGATAATTTTCATATACTTCAATGGCAAAATCCAAAGTTAATCTTAATTGATTTCTAAGAATAATAAAAATATTTTTGTTTTGTCATGTTCATTTATTATATCGTGTGCTTCAAGTGCGGCTGTTTTATACAACTTATTCAGATTATCACCCTCGAGTCAATTAAGAGAAATTCGGAGCACTAAAAATAGCGCTGCCTAAGTCAATCCATTTTGTTACTATTTCTATTTCCTTTTTTTTATTTGCTGCCCTGTTGCTCAATCGATAAGAAATAGTTCGTAAACATGATTTGTAGAGGCTAATTAAAATTTGGCCTCATTCCTGTAAAGGCGTTAAAGAATGGCACTGAAAGCATTTACAAACGAATTTCGAGAAAAACTGTTTTTGGGAACAACTTCTGGGAAACTCTCCTGAAAAACTACCTGTTGCTTCATAGGTAAATCGACAAAGGTAATACCTACAGACGGTTTGAAAAAGAACGAACACAACATTTTTAGTAGTTAGKTWAGAATATGTCAATATTTAGAAACTATTTTWATCAATTAAATTCCGAAATATATCTATATCCGGCTCGAARGACCAAAATGTGAAAGGGTGATATGGAGAAGAGTTGTAGAGTCCCTTTCTTCAAGCAGGGGATTTTTCTTTTTAGATTAGCGCACTGTAWTTTTAGAGAATGCAGTTGGAGTGTGAGAATCAATTGTGGTGGTGATGGTTTTGATGGATATTGTGATGTTAAAAATGCTCCGGCATACACAACAATACGTTTAATTTGGTAAGAATTGAACACTGCAGTTAGCAAATTCACTGGCTGATTTTGAACCCTTCCGCGAGATTTTTTCTTGTTAGAGTCGAAATGATTTTTAGCTCGCTATCTAGTCAGCACCAGAGAGTTAATCTGAATCTTTTCAGTGGCTCTTGTGCGCAGTACACCATGAATAGAATCTCTAGACTGAAATGAATATTAAAACGCTAATTTACGTCCATTTAAAATGTGCATCTGCCATTTAAACATTTTACTAAAAAGTGTATCCATCTAAAACGTATTAGATACGTACTTACATTCTTCTAGTAGAAAATGGTTACTAGAAGATTCAAGAAAAGGGTCTCAGATGTGAGTTCGAATATTTCTCTTTGCTAATAGTCCTCCAATTGACCACTCAACTACTTAAAAATAATGTTTTATGACAACAGCAAATTTAAAATTCTTTCTGCAGAAGCTTCTTTCGAGCTATCGCCGCTTCTAGGGAACTCTTTGTTTAATATTCCGAACAATAAAAATTGTATTTCTGATATTCGGACAGCGAAATCCTTTTCATTTTCCTCTTAAAAAAATGGATTTTCTTCCGCATTGCAGTTTAATTATTTTTGGCTATGGTGTGAAGTTGTTGCATAAAACCAGTTGATCTGAGTCAATAGATCGTCTTTGTGACAGTCTTTAAGCGAATCTATAAGTCACAACAAAATTGGCGCAGTCGGTAGGTTTTTGTGGTTGATTGGGTTGCACTTGTTTGAATTGATTTCCATGAAAACTATTTGGATGATTTGTGAATCAGTGCATTGTTAATTCAATTCGACTTATTGAAATCGCACGCGGTTCAGTATTACTGACTTCAGTACAAATCGTAATGTTTATTTGAATAACTAGGTCTTTGAGTTCTTGATTATAATCCTGTATTAACTCATTAATGCCACATAAGAATATTAGTTGTTGGTGGAGACTGCGCTAATTTTGTTCTTCATATTAAAAATCAGCTTTTAAAAAAACTGTAATTCCAAACAATACATCGAACACGACTSATAATTAGAGACAATTCATATACCTACTATGCTTACAAGATGATCTGACAGGTAGTCTCTAAGAGTATGTAGATCGTCTTACTTAGGGAGGTACTTCATAGGTRTTTCGCGGGTGATACCTTTAATGTCGTCAAGACAACAATTAAAATTCTGATGGCAAAGGCGAATTTTGATGAAGCAAAATAGAATGGTGTTTAGTAAGGAAACTGGAAAAGCTAAGTCTAAAAAAATCGATGCGTTTGAGAGATATTCGAAAACGAATCTGTTGTTGGCAACTGGCTCGTTAGTATACGTCATTACCGAGTTGTTCACAACATGTGGAGCTTAAAGGAATCTGCGCGGGGCGCCGGGGGAACCGTGTTGCTCGACTCGAGACAGACAGCGTATGACGCCAAAGTGATAGTCTCACTGGCGCCAGTGAGGGTACGTTGTCAACTTTCCGGAAGTTCCGTGAATCTAAGGAAAAATATAATTGTCACTGTAAATAACACTTAATTCCCCTGAAATTGGAGGTGATTAGCGCTAGCACGTGCTAGCTTTAAACTGGGACAAGTTTGTAAATAAACAGTGGCATGAGCAGAGCCTTGGGATTCCCCTTGATTAAGTCATATTAACATAAGATGATGATAATTGATTGTTTGGTTTGGAGAAAATTTTCTCAATAACGAGAGACATGAGGTTGTAACCAGTTCAAATACGTTCACTGGTTCAATGTGAGGAAAAATTGTTCAAGTGGTGCCTTGAAATTATCAGCACCCAAACTTTTAGACCTCGAAATATTCTTTAGGTAAATCATCTGATTATGATGATTAAAGATCGCATATAGAGTTCTGGACAATTCCCATGTTAAAAATTGTCGGAATAGTAATTTTTAAGAATCTGTGACCTATTTTTGTTGCATTTTCTTCCGGATTCCCTGTGTGCTGAGCTCCATTTCGAAAGGGAAAGCAGTGCGAAAGTGAAAGAAAACGAAATCGAACTAGAAGTTATTTTTGTATACGACCGGAATTACGTGGTAGGAAAACATGCTCTTGAAGAGTTTATTTAAAATTTTCGTACATTCCAGCACTACATTCACGTAAGAACTTTTTGGCGCTTACTACCTATCTCTTATGCCACCTTCCTAATAAAGAGAAAATATGGATAATACAAATTTTATTAGCTAAATTGAAAATTTCTTAGGTAAAATATATGCATACATTCAAATAATCAATGTGTACATAAAACGGCTTAATTATAATTCATACATAATCCAAATGTGTAAATCTAAGGCGATGTAAAAAAGTAGTTATTTCAGTTGGTTTAGTATATCTTTGCTCTTCCTTAAAAGGCATCTTCCGTTCGCATGGTGAATTTGGTGCCACAACTGCACTTCCCGGACTTTGTTTCGAAGCAGTTCTTTGAACGATACCACGGTTCCCTTGTGATTGGATAAATTTACGCCTGTGATGAATAGTTTTTCGAATCCCATTACGGTTTTTAAATTTATCAAGCCATCGAGCAGTAGCTTTAAAATTTCTCTTATCGTAAGTTTCATTACAAAAAAATTGGATGAGGGAGCTGTCTAGACCCACACCGTTCGGATAAACCAATTTTTGTTCCGAACCTTACGTACTTATTACTGCAAGCTCAGATTATAGGGGTTTTACTGCATTAGATTGTTCCTATCATTACTGAGTTTTTCCTGCTCTATGGAAAAGAGCAAGATTAGTTTATTTATTTATAAAAGTGTACGTACCTTGGTCAATCCAACACAGAAATTCCAGTATCTAAGGTCATAACGACCGTTTAATAGTAAAAAGAGCCTTGAATAAAGGGTCTGTTTCAAGGGTATTAAGGGAATAAAAGGAGTGTTGTCATCCAGTCCGAACGAGCTATCCAAACCTACTCGTTTCAGGTATAAACAAGTACCTACGTTAATGGATAGTGATACTACTTTTTGAGGCTGAACCGACTTTTGCGCAAACACCGGGTTGTATGTAGGTATAACTTCTATAAGGTGGTAAAATATATTGAGTAGGTAAATTTCAGAGTAAATTGTATGTCCAGAATTTATTGTGATTATCTAACATAAAACTGAAAGGCAAGGACTAGTATTAGTTGGAAAAATGAGATAAAGTTATCGCATGTTTTGTTGACAAAATATTTTATCAGCGGCCGAACGGCGCAAAGCAACAATAACAGTATCTGTGATCCGACCGCGTCAAAACGGGAACAATCGTTCAAAAACGAGGATAAATAAACTAAAAATACATAATTTGCTCTGAGATATTTATAGAGCAAAATTGACATGCGGAATTGCGGAAATAAACAAACGAAGCGCGGCAACATCGCAGAGAACAATATCGTGCAAAATATTGCTCAAGGCCCAATTTTCCTGAAATGAATCGGCTTAATTGGGGCCCACTACTGGAAGTACTGGAGCCTAAAATCTGCGCTGGTTATATCACAGTCTGGACTCACCTTATCTGTGGATAGCAATAATTTCGCACACGTCTAGGTGGCAAAGCGGACAGTCTAACCAATAGTACTGTTTACATTATGTAAAAACATTGGCACAGGATTATCGATGGTGGACCACCAATGCGAGCGTAAAACGAGAGAAAAATGCACTTTTTTCATCCAAATAAACACATTTGGCACTGGGAGTTCTTTCACGAGGTACGCAAACAGTATATCGTCTCGCGGTTGTCTACTTTGCGTTCGGTTTTATTCACGTACGAGCTAATAATCCTAAAATACTGCGTTTACACTGCAAACTAAATGATATGAAGGGTCACAAGGCGCCATGTTTACTCGATAGGTTTGTCTCTGTTTCACAAACTGGACACACCGATCCGTCTGTCACTCTCGATTCCAGCCGACTCCGATCTAGTAAAATTTGTTTCTCTCTCGAGTCATACCAGGTTGCCAGCTAATGCGACTGGACAATCTCGGCAACCTGTCACCACACCATCTGCGCTTCCAAGTATTACTGATTTAGTTCCAGTAACTCCAAACAATTGTTGCATGTTTTGAGCGCTAGACCGCAGCCATTAGCTGATTTCAGCTGGCAATTAATCGGATAAATTTGTCGCCCCTGGCTGATGTTTTTGCAAATGACCTCTGAAGGGCTTTCGCTGAACTTTCACAGCCATTAGCCGGATTCTAGGAAAAACCTCAAGGTGCGGCAACTTGGATTTGGAATCGCCCGTCGCCCCCGTCCCGCCCAGTAGCGTCGACGCCGTCAACCATTCACAACGCTTTTTCCCCGAATCCCAAACCTGTTCGGCAACTGTCTTTGTCTTTCTTTGGATTCACCTCGTACTGGCCGCCTGCTGCGGCTTGTTTTGTTCTCTCTTTTTCGAGCCGACCAGGTTTCAACGGGACATCGTTAGCGAATGGTTCAGAAATTCCGCCTTTTGTATCAATTCCGGATGG